ACAGTATCCCCTGCTTCGCCCACTCCGGCAGCCACGAGCAGACCCTGCCGGTGCACAGCCAGCTCGCTCTGTCCTTTAAGCGACACAACTCTCCCCCAGCTGCCTGGGCTGGCCGACCAGCCCAGCCCCAGCCACCACCACCGCCAGCAGCCAGGGCTCAGACACGTGCAGGGCCTCCTGATAGGAGCTTCCTGCCCCGTGTGGGGTCCCCCATCGTCATCAGCCAGAGGGGAAAGATGCTCCTCTCCAGCCCCAGGCAGCAATCCCGCGGCTCTACTGCACCTCCAGGCACCGAGTCTGAAGTTCTCGTACAGATCCCCAGAAATCAGGTGGGCAATCGGGAAGCAGGTCCGGCCCAGCCTCACGGGAGCAAGCCAGCAGAGGAGATAGGGGAGATGGTCCTGGAAACGCTGCTGTCTTCCCAGCAAGAACCCAAACTCCTCCGGGGTGCTGGGGGTCTCCCTGCGGCCTCGCGGGGAACCACCGTAGCACCTATCACTGCAGGGCTGTGCCGTGCCCACAACGAGCAGCGCAGGCTCCTTCTGCCACCAGCCGTGCGCGCCTCCCCTCCATCCTGCCGTCCTGGAAAAGACCACAGAGAGCGGCGTTAGGGTCCCTCCACACGCAAGCACTGAGGCCGTGATGACAGCTGTCCCCTGAGCTCCTCCGCACTGCAGCCGTGAGCGGGGGACACACCTCACACAAGGACGCACACAGGCACAATTAACATTAAGCAAGGCTTAATGCAAACATCTTTTTATTCAAGATAAACCTAGCCCAGACTTGGACTGCATGGCACATCAGCGTGTCTCCCTTTCGTAGGCGCTCCCCATCGCAAGCTCTGGTCCTGGGTGCTCACGCAGAGAAAGCACAGAGCAAAACCCAGGTGGAGACTTGCACATTTGCAAATGCCCGCTAACCCTGCTGTGCAGCAAAGTCGTGCGCGGGCTGAGGGGCCGTGGGCCCCCCCCCCCGCCGTATCCTGGCTGCCAGACGGGCTGGGGGAGAGGGATCCCCTATGCTCTACGCAGGTCCCAGAGCGGGGGCATTTGTGCTGAATTATGACCTTGCTTTTCGAACGGTGGCTGATAGCTCCTGGCTCGCTGTTGCCAGCCTTCAGCAGAGTCCATGGAGCGGTAACTCGCCTGGCCTGGGGCACAGGCAGGAGCAGAGAGCGCTCAGCTACCCGCTAAGAATAAATAATTGAGAGCTCTCCGGAGACGGCTTTGTTGTTGTTTTCTCACCGCTTGAGCAGCCGCCTGACAGCGTGCGAAGAGGCGCCCAGCGGGGCAGGCTGCAACACCTCGCTGCGCCGGGGTGCAGCCGAGGAGCAAGGCACCAGGCACCGGGAAGGTGCCACCGGCCGGCAGCTCCCGCAGCCCCTCGTCCAGGAGCATCGCAGCACATGGATTTGCGCTGCTTCTTGCTCCATGTGCACCTCAGCTAGAGGGTAATGTTTCTGTTCTTCACTGGGTGACTTAACTAGGACACAGGCAGGAGCAAACTTGGGTTCTCAAATCTTTTAGGGAGAGAGGAAGAGGTGGAGGTTGAAGGGGAAAAACCAAGCTGAAGGAATTATAAGGCATTAAAAACCTGCCCTACTTTGCACAGGAAAGTGTATTACTCCTGCTTATGTTTATGGAACCTCATTTTAATAAAAGATAGATTCCTCTTGCTTAAGGGAGATGAGGAAAAAAAAAAAGAAGAAAAAATAGCAAGCCAGACGTGTCAAACCAGCCATGACTTGCACCTGAGCAGGGGGGCACCAGGTGACGTGTGTACCTGTGCCTGGTTCCCAGAGGACGTGGCGGGTGAGGACGTGGGGCTCAGCAAACTTTAATAGGGAACTTAAAAACAGCTGGCCGCACCAGGACCTGGCAGTCTTGCCCTTCTGAGTCCAGCAGCCACGCGTATCTGGGAAACTGGCATGTTAAAATCCCACTGTAACTTTTAACCATGCTCCTGTATAGCTCCAAGCCATCCACATGCAACAGCAATTCAAGGAAGGGGTCTGAACACAAGATATCGTAAGGCTGGGATCACTTGGACACCTGGAAGTCGGTTGCCTGACGCTGTGCAGACATAGCAAGTGGCTCCTGCAAGGAGCCCTTGGCCTGTCCTGCGGGAGGGGAGGAGGACACGCAGGGTGCCGTTGCCCTCTTACCCTTTGCAGGAGGCCCAGGCCACCAGCCGAGAGTGGGTCCGGGGGAGGTGACGCCCGTCCCCAGCGCTCAGCCCAGCGCAGGTCTCCCGGGCGAGCAGAGCAGGGGGAGCCCCAGCTCGCGCGGCACCTCACACCCTGCTCTTTGCAAACATCTCAGCGGCAGGAAGGGCGCGGGAACAGACCCACGCGTGCAGCAGGATCCGTGGGCGCCCCGAACGGTGCTTGCTGGCACCCCGCTCTGCCGCCGAGCCCACGCGCAGCCCTGCCCTCTCCAGCGCGGCTCGCCGTGATGTCTCGTAGCTGCCTTTTAGTGCCGCAGTTGGTTCCTTCTTGAGGTTCCAGATAAAAATATATAGTCATTGCTGTAACTGCCTTTAAACTCACGCCAAGTTTTACAGGGGATTTATGGCCAAGGACGGATAATTCCAGATAAATTAGGTCTTTCAAGAGGGAATGCTGTTTTTTCTTTCGCCCTTTATGTATTTCTTCTTTCAGAAGACAACAGTTATTTAAAGGGCAGTGGGTGTATCACAGAGCACCTCACAGTATGATTATATTTAAGAAGAAGCTGGCTTGTAAATCACACCTCTCTGCCCCATTGCTTTAGAGAGTCAGCAGGAGCTGTGGCGTCCGAGGACACGGCTCGGGGGACCAGCAGGCCCCGGGGTCTCGGACACGGTCACCGAGGGCCCCACTTCCCTCCTGCCTTTTGCGGATACAAAATATCTCAAGCAAACGGGAGCGCACTGTGTCAGATCAGAATCTCCTTTTGCACGAGAACCGAGCAGAAACGCGGACGCGCTGATCCGCGCGGCGGCTTTACGAAGGGCCAGCGCAGCGTGGGCTCCAGTCCCACCATCGGGCGCCTCCTCTCTCGCGGGCAGGCAGCGTCGGAGGTCCCTCTGAGCTAAAACTGCCCATTTCAGTCCCCTCCCAGTGTCAGCATCTCCCTCAGGAACACAAGAGCCAGATAGTGACACTTTTACCCATTCCCCCAGCTATTTCTGCGGACGGGACGGGGGTACCGGGGAGACCTGTGCTTCCCCGCACGGGACCGGGGATCAAGGGGCAGAAGCTGTTGCCCATCACAGCGAGCGGCAGGACGGCGGAGCTGGAAAGAAGAGCATCACCCTGGCACAGGGCGCTGCCTCGGCAAACCTGCCCGAGAAACCACCTCAAGCCAGACCAGGGCCACCCCAAGCAGCCGCTGGAGGATCCAGCCC